AGGCTCCTGGTGCCAGGTAACGCTTCCAGGGTGCGGAAGGGTTATCGATTTGCCGGAGGGGGGGGGGGGGTTCTTAAATGCTTCCTGGGGTTATGTGTGTGTGTGTGTCTGTCTGTGTGTGTGTTTGTGCGCCCAGGACACGATGTGACGGCGTTCTGTCTGATGGGCAGGAGGGTCCGACTGGGAGGTCCTTCTCCTGCAGCCGGATTGTGTAAAGCAGGGCCGCCGTTTCGGATGGAAAGACCGCCGCCTCGGATGAGGACTCGGGCTCACGGGCGGCGGGGGCGGGCGGGCGGGCGCGCAGGAGGCGCTCGTGCGCCGCCGTCGCACCCAGCCTAAACACATCGCGGGCGGGGGGCGGGCGGCGAGAGCGCAGTGGAGCAGGAGCGGCCGGAGCCAAGATGGCTACGGCCAAACATTGGCTCGGGGAGGACTGGAGTGGCCACGCGCCCCTGGAAAGGTAGCGTGCCGTGGCGGCCCCGCGACCATCTGGGTCGAGAAGTGTGCCCCTCGAGCCGGATAGAACTGGTCAGAGAAGCGGTCATAGAACTGGTCTGTGAGGGAAATTGGCGATGGAGTTGTTCGACTTTTTGGAAGGGATTGGAACGAATGAACTTTGCTGTCGCAGTGTTGTTTTGCGAGCCAGTTCTATGACAAGCTAGATTCAATATATGATCCTTGCTGTCCAGTTGCATCAGCCCCGGGCATTCTGTATATTCATAGAGCACTATCCACACTATATTTGCCCATATACATATAATAATGTGAGTTTGAATGCGTACAGGCCGCATGCACACATGCAAAAGACTGTTGCGTGCATGCGCGCATGCACGCTGACCTCCTCAGAGCAACACCGCGCTCCTGATCCCGACGGTGCCTGAACAAACAGTGACCGCACTCGGCGACGAGCGAGGGGGGGACATGAGAAGGAGAAAGCCTTCTCAGAAGGCGGCGGGACTTCTCAGAAGCCCTCCGGCCTTCTGAGAGGTTCTATATGTCGTCTGGGAAGGCTCAGTTAACTTTTTGCCTGCGGATTTCCGAGCCTTATGAGAAGGCCCGCCCCTTCTCCCTTCCCCCCCTCGCTCGCCGCCGACACACCCATAGCAAGATGGCAGAGAACCTGACACGATAGCAGCCACCACCGCCCAATGCATTACGACTCTCGCCCATCCTCCGATACTCAGAGCTGCAGTGCCCGCACCTCGTCTCTCGCGCGCGACCTCTCGCCGCGAGCCTCGCGCCCAACACCGCCGACATTGACACTGCTTGCTTCGGTGCACTTTGTGGCCGCGCCTGTCTTGGCGGCAGAGGGCGCGAGCACTCCGCTGCTGCCTGGGCACCGCTGCCCCCCCCATTGACCGCCCTCCTCCACCACCGCGCCAAGGTCAGTCAGCATCGAGCCAGGAGCCAAGGTCGACTCGGAGTCTGCGTGGGGTGGGGCTGCGTCGGCACGGGGGCCGCCTCGGGCGTCAGAGACACCAGAGCATCGGAATCGAATCGGACCGAGCCCACGGGACGTACGTAACCTTGCCATCGCTCGGACGTCCATGCCCCGTGCATCTTTCGGTTTTGTGTGCGTGGTTCTCTGCTCGGCGGCCCAGGAGGCTCCTCGATGGTCCTCGCCGGGAAAAAACAAGGCACGCGTCCGAGCGACGCCAAGCAACCGACACAGTCGGGGCGTTGATGTAAGGAACCCTACATAAGGAACGAGGCCTATTTTTTTACCTAACAGCTCTTGCTGATAGGTTTCTAGTGGTCTCAAAAGAGAGCATCATGACTCCTCAGGGGGAACTGGGCGGGTCCCGGGGAGGCTGCCGCCGAGGCTGCCGCCGAAGCCGAAATCGCTTGGGACATCCTCGCAAAATCGCTCTTGGTGCTCCCAGAACTCCATTCCCGGGCCACATTTTGGATGCCCGGAGCCAACTGTAAGCCACTTCGTGCTCTTCGACTTCCCAGAACTCCATTCCCGGGCCACATTTTGGATGCCCGGAGCCAACTGTAGGCCACTTCGTGCTCTTCGATTTCCCAGAACTCCATTCCCGGGCCACATTTTGGATGCCCGGAGCCAACTGTAGGCCACTTCGTGCTCTTCAAGTTCCCAGAACTCCATTCCTGGGCATGATTTTGAATGCCCGGAGCCAACTGTAGGCCACTTCGTGTTCTTCTAGTTCCCAGAACTCCATTCCTGGGCCACATTTTGAATGCTGAGGCAGGCTGATGCTGCGGCCGAGGCAGGCTGAGGCTGAGGCAGGCTGAGGCTGAGGCCGAGGCTGAAGGCAGACTGAGGCTGAGGCTGAAGCAGGCTGAGGCTGAGGCTGAGGCAGGCTGAGGCTGAGGCTGAGGCAGGCTGATGCTGAGGCAGGCTGAGGCTGAGGCTGAGGCTGATGCAGGCTGAGGCTGAGGCAGGCTGAGGCTGAGGCCGAGGCTGAAGGCAGACTGAGGCTGAGGCTGAAGCAGGCTGAGGCTGAGGCTGAGGCAGGCTGAGGCTGAGGCAGGCTGAGGCTGAGGCTGAGGCAGGCTGAGGCTGAGGCTGTGACTGCGACTGCCGTTGCCGCTGCGACTGTCATCGCGAATGCGACTACGACTGCGAGAACAGCAGAATTCTACAACTGGATTTTCATCTGAATCTTAAGGGGAATGCTTTCAGATATGCTTCTACACATCGCTGTTAGGTTCCTTTGCCGGGATAATTTCTGGGTTTTTGTCTCGGCCCCCACTTTCCATATCTTCCCATATTTTCTCGGGAATCGACGATGAATTGTGTCTGTGTGTTTTTTTTGTCCCTCCTGACAAGGCCCGATGACGGGCTCGAGAAACCGCCCTCGGGGGAACACCGTCCGAGCTGACAACAGAAGTGCCACCGTCGAAGATGTCAAAAGCAGGGACAGAAACCACCGCCACCGAGAAGCCATCGGAGGGGGCCCAACCCTGGGAGTCGGCACGCCTCAGCGTGAGGTCGGGCATGTCCCCCTCCAGGCGGATTTTGGACGAAGCATGAACAATAGTAAAAAACATATTCGCACAAATAACCGGAAAGAAGTCACAGACTATGTTTGGACTGTTTTTGAACACTCCTCCTGTAGAGGGGCACGCCCGACTTACAGTGAGAACGTATAATAAGGACGCGTGGTAAGGACGCAAGACCCTTGGAGGCCGAAGTTGACGTATTCTGGGCGGCAGGCGGCCAAACCCCCAAGGAACCTGAGAAACTGGCCTGCGAAAATTGCTAGGAACGGGCCGCAGAGGCTGAGGCAGGCAAGGACCCAAGGGTACCCTTGAAAAAGTCGTTTGTCCTCACTATGCGCGTTGACTGTAACCTCAGCGTCGCCTGGCGCTGCGCGACGGTCGGGCGCGCCGCCGCCCTCGGGGATCGGCCCCCGCCCTGCTCGCCAGGGGCTCTCGGCGGCGGTGGCCTCTGCGAGTCGAGGCAGCGGCAGCTCACAATCGGTCGCCGGGCCCCTCCTCCTCCTCCTCCTCCTCCTCCTCCTCCTCCTCCTCCTCATCCTCCTCCTCCTCTTCCTCCTCCTCCTCCTCCTCCTCCTCCTCCTCCTCCTCCTCCTCCTCCTCCTCCCCTCCTCCCCCTCCTCCTCCTCCTCCTCCTCCTCCTCCTCCTCCTCCTCCTCACTCCTCCTCCTCCTCCTCCTCCTCCTCCTCCTCCTCCTCCTCCTCCTCCCCCCCTCCTCCTCCCCCTCCTCCTCCCCCTCCTCCTCCTCCTCCTCCTCCTCCTCCCCCTCCCCCTCCTCCCCCCCTCCTCCCCCCCTCCTCGTCCCCCTCCTCCCCCTCCTCCTCCCCTCCCCTCCTCCCACCTCCTCCTCCTCCCTCCTCCTCCCCTCCTCCTCCTCCTCCTCCTCCTCCTCCTCCTCCTCCTCCTCCTCCTCCTCCTCCCCCTCCTCCTCCTCCTCCTCCTCCTCCTCCTCCTCCTCCTCCTCCTCCTTCAGCGCACCACTTTCCCGAGCTGCGCCCGGCCGTGGCGACGAAGCCCCCCCCCCTTCGATGAGGCCGCCTGCCGTTCTCTCCGCCCCGCCCTCCGTCGATCCGCTCCTCCTCTGCCGGGGCTTCATCGGGCCGGGCGAAAGAGGGGGATAGTAGCAAAGAGCCTGTTCTTCTTTATATCCAGGCAAGTTTACTTGCATGGCGTTCGCCCCCCCCCCCCCCCCTCGCCCCTCTTCAAGCGAATACTAGCGTGCAAGTGCCTTTCGACTTGCGTGATTTCCGCGCCCCCCCGAACGTGCAAGTCGTTTGCGGCTTGCTTCATGCTCAGCCCCCCCCCCGTCCATGCAAGTAAACTTGCCAAAGTCTTAAAAAAACAGGCTAATCGGGCCGGGCTAGCTCAGCTCCTGATTTCCCTGCGCCTCCGGCGCCTGGAGGCGTCCATGTATCGAGGAATGGGCCCTGCGGCGAGGCCGAAACCAGCTGCATGCAGCAGATTTCGTACCCCCCCCCCTTTCCTTGTCCCCCCCTTTCGTCTGGCCCGACTAAAGGCGGAGCCAGGACGAGGATAAGATCGTGAATCGGGAGGATCGGGCGAGGGTATAAGTCGAGAATCTCTAAGATCCAGTGGTGCTGGAAGGTTCATGAGAGCCACGAAAGGAGCCGCCACCGCCAGAGCTCCATTGAACTCCGCTCCCAAAAGGCAGCCCCCCGAGCTGGTGGCGGTGGTCCTTTCTTCTCTGGTGAACTCCTCGGGCGCCGCGGCCGTCTCAGAGCGTTCAGGAACTAGAGTCTAGAGTCCTCCTAGATGGCTCCGAGCAGATTGGGATCTCGCCGCATCGCCGATGCATCGACGATGTGTTGCCGGCGTCGGCGATGACGACGTCGGCGTGTAGAACATCGGGCTCCACATCGCCGATGCATCGGCGATGCGGCGCGATCCTCCGACCCTGTCTACTAGGACCCCATCTGGGACGCCTAGAGTTCCGGAGCGCTCTGCACGGACCCATCCTCGCCCCAGGCCCGTCCGAAGTCCGGGCCTCCGCCCACGGCCCTTCGCGCGCGCGCGCCTCCGCAAGTGCCCGGCATGGCTCGCGACGACAGCGCGGGGCCGCGCGCTGCCGCGCCCCGGGCGGGCCGCCCCCCCTCCCCCGCGGGCGGGCCCGCCGCTCGAGCCGGGCCCCCGCAGCGGGGCCCCCGCGGCGCCGGCCGACGCGCCGGGCCCCCGCCGCCGGGCGCGGCGAGCGCCGCTTCGCCCACGGCCCGGCAGCCGCCGCGGCGCCCCGAGTGCGCTCTCGCCGCTGCCCGCGGCCGCCTGCGGCCCGGCCCCCGTCCCCGCATGCCGCGGGGGGGGGGGGGTCCGGCCAAGGCCGCCTGCCCCGCGCCTCGCGGCGGCGGCCCCTGCGAAGCGCGCTGTCTCAAGCGGGCCGGTGGCGTGTTGCTCCGCTCCGCGGGGCGGGGACCCTGACCTTCCAGAGAGCTATTTTTTTAGCGCTGGAGACCTAGAAACCTAAAAAGCTGGGCGAGACAGCCTGAAACCAAGACGTAGAATAGCTTTGGGATCGGTTCTTAAGTCGGGTGCTATTTTTTAGCCCTCCTGGAAGGTCTGGGGAGGCGGGGGAAGCTCCGGGACGCCGCTGGTGTTGGGCCAGAGCGTGGTTCGCGTGCCGCGCTGGAGGGCGATGGGCCAAAAACCGGCGGCGCCACACGCGTCGACCGCAAAAGTTCCCGACCTGGAAAGGGGCGTGCTCGCGGCCCGGGGGGCGGAGGATCCAGATCTCCGACGGCGTGCTGTTCTCAATGCTGGCGTGTTTTGTTCCTCCATTTCGGCCTCTATGGCGTCCGTTCCCGGGCCCCAGGAGCATCAGCCGCTGACCCAGGACGGCAAACTGCCCCTGGGGACAGGGTCGGGGGCGTCTGGGGCCGCGCAGCGAAAACGTCGGATCGTCGGACGTCCGAGGATGGGCAACCGAGCTTCTGGAAGTCTTCTGCCCCCCTCTTGGCTACCTACCAGGCCACCCCAACCCAACCCGAAGACCCGAATTTTTCGGGTTGGGGGGGGGGTAAGGGTTCCACATGCGTTTTTGTCGATGTTTCCCGACCCCCCCCCACTGGAAATCGAGGGTAAATCTGAGCCTTCGCGTTGGCTTGGGGTGGTTTGGTGGGTGGTGACCTCTGGGGCCTCCTGGCGCACCCTGGTGGCCACAGCCGGGCCCGCCCCGGAGCGCCTGGCCGCAGCGCGCCTCAGGACGGCCCGGGCGCCTGGCGGATCGGGACCTCGTGTGTTGCAGCGGAGAGCTGGGGAAGGGCGTGCCTCCGAATTGAGCAGGGGCCGACCGTCCCGGCATTCTCATAGTCCCACCACGACATGTTCTCAGAATCCCCAACAATTGTCGAATAACAAAAACAAGGTTGTCGCAACATCAACCCGATGTGATAAAACAAGACAGTCCCAACGAGAACTGTTCTAAGAGCATTTCGTGGGAGCCGCAAAAGGATCTTAGAGCATTGCTTGGTAGGGCTGTGGGCGAGCCGGGGCGCTTCGCCACTGTTTAAGACCGAAAGCCTCCGGGAACTCCACGAGGCGCCCCGGGTCTGGAGACCTCGGCGAGCCCTCTGGAGGGCCCTGGGCCGCGACGGCCGACGGCCTCCTGCGTTTGCCATGCTGCGCGCGCCCGCCCGTGGGGACACGACCACGCCCGCCAGCCCTGGGCGGGCGCGGCCGCGCGGAGGGAGGCCGAAATGGAGGAACAAAACACGCCAGCATTGAGAACAGCACGCCGTCGGAGATCTGGATCCTCCGCCCCCCGGGCCGCGAGCACGCCCCTTTCCAGGTCGGGAACTTTTGCGGTCGACGCGTGTGGCGCCGCCGGTTTCTGGCCCATCGCCCTCCAGCGCGGCACGCGAACCACGCTCTGGCCCAACACCAGCGGCGTCCCGGAGCTTCCCCCGCCTGCCCAGACCTTCCAGGAGGGCTAAAAAATAGCACCCGACTTAAGAACCGATCCCAAAGCTATTCTCCGTCTTGGTTTCAGGCTGTCTCGCTCAGCTTTTTAGGTTTCTAAGTCTCCAGCGCTAAAAAAATAGCTCTCTGGAAGGTCAGGGGAGACGGCCCCAAGAGGGAAGCCACACGGGGAACCCGAGCAAGAACACGTCGAGCCCTCGGCCAAGAGGGCCCCGAGGCTGCCCACGAGGGCCGCCCCAAGACGACCGAAGACGCTGTCAAGCCGGCCCCGGAGGGCCCAAGGCGCCCCCAAAGAGCCCCAGGAGGGCCCCCAAGAGGGCCTGACGAGGCGAACATCGTTGATTGCACGTCGGTTTGTCGATCGCACACCGCAGCTCGCTGGCATTTGCGCACCAGAGACAGAAACGCGCGTCGGCAAACTTTGACTCGCGCAGCTCCGTGGATTTAATCAACGGGTCCACACTATACATGCATGTGTACATACCCATGCAAGATGCGATGGCTCGCTTCGCTTCGCCTCAACTCTTGGTCAAGCGTCCGTGTGCCTTCGGACACCTGTGGAAAATGGAAAGGTGGGATGCTGTTAAGAGCAGGGCGGGGAGAGCAGGAAGGAGAAATTGAGCGTTCCGAAATAAGGATGGGCAAACAACGGGTCCGAATACGGAAACATTGGGGCAAATTTCGATACAAATGGACCGGGACAACCTCTCCCCCCATCTTCCGAAGAGCAGGCGAGGGCGACTGGAGCGAGGAAAGATCATGACCACGACGGGGTGAAACTCATGGCATCGAGATGGGCTCCAATCATGAGAATGGTGGGGGTTGAGGGCATGGCCGTGGCAACAATTCAAATCACGAGCGCTAAGGGGCTGACGGTAATACGGCAAAATGTGGTCACACTGGCGATCATGTCTTGTGGGGGGTAACCGTGAGTGGGGTCTTTGTCGGTTCCAAGTATACACCTTCATTGGAGTCAATGGGATGACCACGAAGAAAAGGTCAAGGTAATGTCGGGTTAACTTCTCGCAAGTTGCTGGAATAATTGCTGGCCTCTCTGCGAAACGCAGCTGCCAGTGAGATGTCGGGAGGGCAGCGGCAGGTCGAGCACACTATCCCTCCTCGGAGTGGTCGTCGGGCCATAGTTCAAGCTTCAGGCGTCCGTTCGGGACGATCCAGGCACCCAAGAAACTTCCTCGGTGAGGCGCAGCTGCTGGAAGGAATCGCGAGGTGAGAGAATGTCCAAGAACCAACGAAATATTGCATGAACCAGGATCCACGATGTCGCTTCAAGCACTTGCCTTGCCCGAGCGAGCCCATGCGCCGCTCGCTCTTTGGACACTCGGCGTTCAGATTTGCTTGTTCCACGCCGAAGCTGTGTTCGTCACTGGGCAGTCTTTGGGGCCCTGGGGGGCATATTGAAAAGCTCTTCGAAGCATATTGGGGGCCTCGGGGGTCCCTTCGAGGATTTATGGGCCATCGCGGGGGCCTCTTGAAAACCTCTGGGGCGTCTTCGGGGCCTCTTGGACTATATCAGGGCCTTCTTTGGTGGTCTTGAGGCCCTCTGGGGCCGACTTGGGGTCCTCTGGGGCCGTCTTGGAAGCCTCCTGGGCCTTCTTGAGGCCCTCGTGGACGCCCTCCTAGGGCACTCTTGAACCGTCTTGGGGTTCTCTTGGGCCGTGCTCGGGCGCTCTTGAAGGCACCTTGGACCGTCTTCGGGCGATCTCGGAAGCTCCTGGGGGCGTCTTGGGCTGTCGGAAGCCCGAAAAGACGAGAACTCCGAGATCGTTCAAAACTCGATGGACATCCATGGGTTTTCCCTATCGCGGCCCTCCTGGGGGTCTCCTGGGGTCTTCTTGGGAGCCTGTCAAGTCCTGTTGTGGCCATCTTGGGGCCATGTGGGAACCGTCTTTGGGCACACGTGTCCATCATGGGAATTGTTGCAAGGCTTCTGGGGCCGTCCGCGGCGTCAAGAGGAGTGCGGGCGGCTAGCCAGGGAAGCCCGGGAGCTGTCCGAAAGGACTCCCGGGCCTGGGGGGCGTATACACATACATGTGTGTGCACACATCGATACACACATATGTATACATATATACTGTATACATAGAGAGGGGAGAGAGAGAGAGAGAGAGAAAGAAATAAATAAAGAAAGAAAGACAGACAAACAACAAAACAACAGGGAGAGAGAACGAGAGAGGCAGAAGGACCGCAATAGGGAGAGAGGAGGGGGAAAGACAGAGAGACAGAAAGAGAGAGAGAGAGAGGGAGAGAGTGAGAGAGAGAGAGGTGCACGAACGACATTGCGCCATGCATCTCTCTAATTCCTTTTCCCGTGGCGGCAACGCTTAGCTTTCAACGTTGCGTGCGAGCAGCATGTACTTGGCAGACGCGAGCGACCAAACTTCTCAAGGCACTACCGACACATCCACACAAAGCTGTGCTCGCATCTGCGAAGAAGCATCCTGGAAAATATGGGCCTCGAGCGATCGCGAGGTACACCAATCAAGCCGAGCTTGAATGAAACGCTTCTTCTGGCTAAGTGAGCCAGTACGAAAACTCCTAAGCTACACGATATACAACGCGCAAATCTCGAATGCGCCGTCGTAACCCCTTTGGGTCGAACATCACGGATACATATATACTTCGGCAGACGACATTCCGTACACATGTACGCATATACGAACAGAAAAGGGAGCTTATCTTTCGCTGGATGGCGTGTAGTTTCGCTGCTCCACAATCCTGCGCGCCCGTCGAGCCAACCACGTGGTTTTTCCAACGCTGTCGCTACGTCTCCTGTGGCTCCGTAGTCCGCCCCGCACCCTTTGGCACTGGCACTTCGCCTTATTGCGAGAATGGCTCGCTGCGAAGGTCTCTGCACGACTTCGCTCTGAACGGCCTCGTTGATGCCGCCTTGCTGCCGCCTCATTGCTTCCCGTTGCCGCCCGTTGCCGCGTTGTTGCCGCGCCGTTGCCGCCCAGTGCGCTGTGCGGGTATGCCGGGGATTCGCCACGCTGCCGCTGGTTGCCTCCATATCGGTCACCCTGTAGTTCCCACCTCCATACTTGCTACATAGCTTGCACGACGAAGCTTTCACTACGTAGCTTGTACCGCATCTGTTTAACCCCGCCGCATGGCTTGCACGAAATAGCCTTCACCGCACAACTTATACCACATAGCTTTCAACTCCACAGTGCAATAATCCACTCTTTGGGGTCCTCGCAGGCTGACGCGCATATACATAGGTATGCGCATGTGTATGAACCCTCCCTCTCTAGAGTCACTGTTTCGCTCAGTATGTCTCGGCGGTTCTCAAAACGGGGCATTGTATTTCTGACCGCATATCAGAGCAGGCTTCGTGCCTCTGCGCGCAAGTTGTACACACTTGAGCTAAGACCCTGCTGGCCTCGAACTCTGATCGTTTCCACGTAACCGCTACGGGTCACAGGATAATGCCATCAGGAGGAGCGTTGGAAGCAACAAAGAATGGTCCCCGGTGCGAGCAACTAGGGGTGCTCGGGTTGCACATGCTGGAACCAGTGCAGGTCCATGCCTCTCAGATGAACATTGTTGACGTTGTGTGCGCAATGTGTTCCTCCACGGCTCCTGCATAATTCTAGCCTTGCTTGTACAACCCATGGTTTTCGCATCGGTCGTCTAACTTATCTTGTACGGCACCATAGCCTAGTTATTAACGAAGATAAATACATTGACACTGTGTCTACTGGTTCTGGGTCCCAACCAACTCTATCCCCGATGTGAACTTGCATGGGCAGGATGCGAGCCGTGATCACGATATGCAAATAGCAATACAGCAAAAGGATGCGCATCAGGACGGAACCAACAACCCTGAGATAATGAGATCACGCTGGGAAGAATCCCAACCATCTTTTCGTACGGTGCATGTGCTGGCAGTGTGCATGAGGGCACCGACAACGGATGGCGAATGTGGCTCTCGGCTTTTTTCTAATCACCACTCTCTTTCCCCTCTCTACATGTTATCTATATCCTCAACCTTGTTTAGATTGTCTGTGCTCGAAGACCCGGAGAAACTGCACACTTCCCTGGAACCCAGGAGCCCAGAACCGGAGAACTGGGAAACTGGCCGCGTGCCGAAGTCAGCGGCATGACTTCAACAACTTCTTCAAACATCCTTCAATATCCGCGACGACCTCTTCAATGCAGACACACTGACTGGGCAATATGAGACTTGGCTGCAACATCGTCCTGCCATGCCCCGAATCGTTCACGCTCGGATGGTTTAGAGCTTTCCAGCATGTACTCCCTCTTCTGGCCGGGTTGCCCCTTGCGACTGGCTTGCACTCTGCTGCGTAGGGTCTCTACGAGCGAGCGTGAGCAACGCCGCGCGCCTAAACAAGACATCCAACAAGTCACGTGCACAGACAAACACGTCCACATGGCAAAGCAAGCTGGACGTGTTACACCATGCAGCTGATAAACTTATCCAGATCCTTGCTGCCGACGGCGGCGGAGTCAATAACTTGGGCATCTAAATAGATTTGGATCAAAAGGCCCTCTGCCTCCTCCTTCTGCCCCTTGGACATGCTCGTGTTCTTGAGCGAGTCGGGCTGGCCACCGAAAGACAATGGCCTGTTGGTGCCACCTGCGATGTTACGAAGCGACTCGAGGTTCTTTTCGCGGACCTCGTCGACTGTCTCAGGCACGCCCCGCCAAAGGGAGGCGGCCCAACGGTTAAGCTCATCGCGCTGCTCAACAGAGTGCACGCACGATGTCTGAATCTTCGAGTACGCATACATGAGATACATCGTGAACTCGGTGGCAAAGACTTTGCCGTCGGTGTTGAAGCCGCACCCGAACATGAAGCAGATGGGGCCCTGGCACAGCGGGTCGGCGTTCACCTTCTCGCCGATGAAATCCAACATCTCGAGCACTGTCTGCCTGTGCAAGACGATCGGGGTCACAGACGTGGGCCACAGGGCAGTCTCTGGCGGGGTCGTCTGCAAGAGCCTTTGCGCCGTCTGGAACCACTCCTTGTGCGGTAGAGGTACGTCGTCGATAGAGGCGTACTGCGCGGGCACCCTCGCCTGGTTGCACGGTGTGAAGAAAGTATCCGCGTCGACGTCCTGTAAGAACGTGTTCTTTGCGTCGAGGACGAGGTAGAAGTCCGTCCCGACGTTGGCGGCCACCTTCAGCTTCAGGACCTGCTGCACGAACCAGCCGTCGATCTCCTGCACTTGCGGGGAGTAGTCCAGCAGCGTCACCTGTCGCCCAGTGACCAGCGCCTTCACCTCGTCGAGGTCGGCCTGGTACTTCGAGGGCGGGTGCTTGGAGACCCACATCAGGATGATGTTGCCCAGGTGGTGCTCCGGGTCGTGCAGAACGATCGACTTGACGGTGTACTTCAGCTTGCACAGGTCTCTCTCGAAGAAGGGGATGACGACGTCCGGTGCCTGCGGGACCTCCGGGGTGCAGGCTGGGCACTCCGCCGTGTGCAGCACCGACGCCTCCACGCTCGGCGTCGGGGGCCTGCACGTCGCACTGCACGGCTGAGGGCAGGCGCCTCTGCTCCCGTTGGTGGCCAGGAAGGCCTGGAACTCCTCGAGGCAGGAATCGCTGGTGAGACCTGGAGGCTTCTCTGGGGCTACCCTCCTGGCTATTCCTCCCTGGTTGCCTTCAACCTCCTCCTGCTCCTCCCTCTCTTGCCGGAGAGGCTCAACTCTGCAGGACAAGGTCTTATCCGTCCCCTCGCTTCCGGCGGTGAGTGTGGCGTGCTTGTGTTTGTGGACCCTGGCTGGCGCACGTCGGCAAAGAAGGCACTCGTCCTGCCCTATGCGCTGCTGACGTAGCCCGTGGCTAGAACCCGCGATTGCCTTCCCACGGCATCGCCTGAGGAGCAGATGTGTCGGGCTCTTGGTGCTTATCTCGTCAACTCCGCCTATTGCAAGGAAACGTTCGGGCCCTCCCCGCTGTGGCGTCGGCAGATGCTGCTCAGGCCAGCGCCCTATTGGACATCACAAACACCACTGAGCAGCCGAGGGCAATCTACCAGCAGATCGGGCACTGCGCGGATCCCTCGCGGATCTGCCAGAGCCGTCGAAGTTGAAAGATGTGTGGGGGGTACCGAGGCCGTTCCAGGAGACGCATCTGGAGCGCTCTCTGCGGGAGGCTCCAGCGCAAAATCCGCCGACCCTGTCGGCGTGTGGGAGAGGCTTCTCCGTCTTCCCCACAGCGTCCTCGTCTCCTCCGCTTTCCGAGGGCTCCCCCCCCCTGCACAATTTTTTGGGTCGGCGGGGCGAGGGCGCACCTCCTCCTCCGACAAAAGCTGGGCGGACCACGCGCAGCTCGAAGTGGGGAGACGGGGCACAGGCGGGCGGGATCCCTCCCTGCACAAAGTCCACGCAACAATGGAACAGCGCCAGCCTTCCGTCGGGGGGCCGCCCCTTCCCCCGATCCCTTCCCCGCAACGGGGGGGGGGGGCGGGGGGGCCCCGGGGGGCAACTCCCGGGGGGGGGGGTCCCCCCTCGGATGCGCAGCCTCCCGCCTCTCCTCCTCCCGCGTCCTGGGGCTCCGCTGGCCCATCCGGGGCCGCCTGCGGGCCCTGTCAGCCTACCTTCAGGCTCCTGGGAGACCTCTCGCCATCGTTAGACTCTCTTGGCAGACACTCTGGCGGCACTCTTGGCAGCCTCTGCGGGCGCTTTTGGACCTCGCTTGACGCCGTCTTGGAACCCTCTCGGGCCACTTGAGGGCGCTCTTTGCCTATCTTGGCACTCTCTGGAGCCTTTCCCGAACCCTGGAGGAGGCCTCTTGAGCTGTGATCGGACGACCTTGCAGGCATCTGGCGCCGTCTTCGAGCCATCTGAGGGCATCTTGGACTCCTCTACCTCCATTGTCCTCGTCGTCGCTGCCTACAGGGTCGGCGGCATCGGCCGTAAGGCCTTCGCAACATTGGCATCCCGAGCCTGCCTGACCCTTCCCCATCCACCCTGCCCCGCCCCCCCTCTCGGCGGCGAGCAGGCGGGGGAGGGCGGGGCGGGGGCAGGCGCGAGGGAGAGGGGTCCTTCCAAGAGGGCAGGGGCTTCTGAGAAAGACGGGGGGGGGAGGCTGCCGGTGGTACTCGCCATCGCTCGGACGTCCATTCCCCGTACATTTTTGGAGTTGGTGCGTGCATTTTTCGCTGAATGATCCAAGATGCTCCTCGATGGCCCTCGCCGAGAAAAAATGCACACGTCCGAGCGATGCCAAGGGTACGGCCAGGAACTTTTGCGCTCAGCGCGTCTCGGCGGCGGCCGCGGCGACGCGCTCCGCCCTGCAAGCGGACGGCGCGTCGCTGTGCCTCGTGGGGCGGGAGGCTGGGAGAGGCCCGGGACGGCGACGCTCGACGACTGGGCCGTGGACAGCTTGTCGCGCCGAAGCGCGGTGGGCCTGAGCCCTCGGCGCGACACGCGACGCCAACGCTTCCCATCGCAGCGGGTCGGAGACAAGAAGCCGCCATCGCTCGGACGTCCATTTCCCGTGCATTTTTCGGTTTCGTGCGTGTCTTTTTTTGCTCGATGGCCCAGGATCTTCCTCAATGGTTCTGGCCGAGAAAAGATGCACACGTCTGAGCGATGCCAGGGGGGTGCAGCAAACTGCAGCCGAAAATGCGATGAGCAACATGGCAGTTTGAGCGATATCCGGGCCAGCTTCCCAGGAATTCTATGAATTCCTGGGCCAATGTTCTGCCGCTCGCGCCGTGGAGGGGCGCACGTGCTCAGGACGCGGGGCCCAGTCTCCGGCGAGTTGGCTCAGAGTCGGTGGCCCAGCTCTCCAGGCGACTCCTTCCTCAGACGCCCGACGGCAAATAGCCCCGATTCCTCGGCTATACACGCAAGAGTGGCCCTGGGTGAGAGCGACCTCCGGCGCGCGGCTTCCTGGCGGGCCGCGGGGGGACCTGACCCGGGCGCACACGACGCCACTGTAGCGCACCGCGTCCGGCGATCGGGGGTCCCCGTGGGGTGCGCACCAAAGGTCGCTCACGGCGACAGGTCACTCTGAACGGTGCGGGCGCGGCCGCAAGAAACCCTCGCAAGAACCCGCGCTCCGAAACCCGCAGGCGCGAGGTGCAGGTCAAGGGGAGCCCAGAGCAACCCGAACGCAGCAGCTCCTTCCACGGCCACGAGATAAGCCACCGCGCAGCGCTCGGAGCAAAAAAACCCAGGGCACCCGGACGAAAAGCAGATGATTTCTTGAGGCGCGCCCCCACTTTTGGACACCCGAAATGGGTACGGAAAAAATGGGTACAATGCCCAACAGCAAATGTTGTCCCAAACCAACAGCGGCCGCTGTTGGGCACGCCGCCTTCTGTCTCGAATGGACACTGGCCGCGGCGGCGTGGACAGCGAGTCCTGTTCAGAATGAACAGGAACTGCTGTTGGGCATTGTGCCCATTCTTTCCGTACTGTACATCAAATCGAATTTCGCGCCCCGCGCCCCGCGGTGCGCCGGCCACACGCGCACCCCTCGCTCCCGCGCGCTCTGCCGGGGCCGCGCCGCGCGAACAGCGGTGGGAGCCGCGCGCCCCTGCCCGTGCCCTGCCGTCGGGCACTCCGGGGCACTCCGTGTATTCTTGGGGATTATGTCGGGCGTGTCCCCCTACAGGGAGATTTCCGGCGGAAAAAAATACCCCAACAATGCCCCAAATAATCCCCATACTATTTTTGGATTATTTGTTTGACTATTATTGGGGCATTTTTTGGTTCGTCGAAAACCTCCCTGTAGGGGGACAGGCCCGAATTAATCTTGGGGCCGTCGCCCCGGCGGCCCCGGCGACGCGCCGCGCCCTGCGAGCGGGCAGCGCGCGGCTCCGCTCCGCGGGGCGCCGGGCTGGGAAAGGCTGGGGACGTGGACGCCCGGGGACCGCGCAGTAGGGGCAGCGCGCCGCGCCGAGCCGTGGTGGGCCAGAGCGAGCGGAGCGGTGCGCCGTCCAGAAGCTCCCGACCGCAGGCTCACGCAGCAGGTCCTCCTGACACCTCCCGGCGCCAGAGGCAGCCCGTGAGCGCCTGGCGCCGGGGCCGAAGCCGGTGGCGTGCGGCGAGTTCCGCAACTCCCTCTTTCCAGATCCCCACGTGAGGAAGCCCCGGGATAGACTGGAAGCCCGTGGCAAGACGTCAACCAGGTTACCGCCGGGAACCTCGTAGAGCCCTTCACACGCGCAAGAGCGCTCTGAGAACGAGAAGGAAGCTCCCTGGATCATCACCTTGCAAACCCGACAAATCCCCATGAGAGGAAGCCCTGGGATGGACCGAAGGCCACCAGGTCGAACCTGCAGAGAGGGGCTGCTGGCGTGCCGCGCGTCGATTTATACCGCGCGGGTCCTTCCCACGGAAAATTGCCAGTGGGCCCCTCGGCCGCGCCAGCTGGCCACGCGGAGAAGCGCAGGCGCGCGACGCCCCGTCGGCATGCCCGCCCAAGATGGTCTCAAGAGGACCGCAAACGCGGCCTCTGTGGCCTCCTTTTTTTTGTCCGGCGCGCGCTGGCCGGGCGTGGCGCGGCCGGGGGCCGCGCCCGTAGCGCCGAGGCGCCGTGGTCAGGACAGGCCACCTGCACCGAATTAGGGGGGGGCGGGGAGGGCCCCGACGACCCCGGCCAGCACAGGGGAGTGCGCGGCAGCGGGATGGTGGGGGGGCATTGCCTCCGCGAGCGTCATCGGCAACGCTCACCCCAGACCAGGAGGTGCCACTGACCACTCTGTACACCCTAGCGGAGCGGGTGGGCCCAGGCAGCACGGTGGCCTCCTCCTCCTCCTCCTCGGCCGAGATAACTCCACGAAGGGGCCCAAGAGGGCTCCAGGGCAGCCCACGCTGGCCTCGAGACGGCCCAAGAGGCCCCCGACACGGCCCCCAAGAGGGCTCCAAACACCCCTCCTCCCTGCTCCCATCCCTGCCTCTGCCCTCCGCATGCCGTCATCGTCGTCGTCATCATCATGATCATGTTCATGGTCGTTCTCTTCGTCGTCCCCGTCAGCATCAACATCAGCATCATTTGCTTCCTCTCAGCAGAACTCCAGGCCCGCCATTTTTTCAGCGGGTCAACCTTATTCTTCTTCCGCATCATCGCCACCACCAGCATCATCATAATCAGCACCATCATCATCAGCAGCATCATCAGCATCACCATAATATTCATCATCACTACCATCACCATCATACTCATCGTCATCATACTCATTATCATCATCATCAACAACAACATCATCATCATCCTCATCATCATCGTCGTCGTCAGTATCATCATCATCGTCAGCATCATAATTGTCATGATCAGTACCTTAGTTCTCACCATCATTATCAGCATCCTCAACATGACTCTCATCAACACCTTGGCCATCACCCTAATCATAATCCACCTCCACATCATTAGCATCATCATGCGCATCGTCATCACCATCAGCATCATCATCAGCATCATGATCATCGTCATCATCAGCACCAACATCCTCACCACCATCACCGACATCATCATCAGCACCAGCATCATAAACATCATCATCAGCATCGAAATCATCATCATCAGCATCGTCATCATCATCATCAGCATCATGACCGTCATCGTCCTCATCACCATCATCGCCAGCATCACCAACAACACCATCAGCATTAGCATCACCGTAACCATCATCGTGACCGTCATCTGAATCAACATCATCATCATCACGATCACCAACATCATCGCTATCATCATCACCATCACCATCACCATCACCATCACCATCACCATCGTCATCATCATCATCATCGCCATCAGCATCATCTCCTTCACCGCCAATACCAACAACAACATCACCATCACCATGTGACGCATTTCTGCCCACACACACACACACACGCCGCACACGATTCGTGGCTCCATAGGGCGCCCCACCGAAGGCCCAAGTGGCAACGCACGCATGGTGGCACATCCCATTTGGGTACACACCCCACGTGTCTCGTGGCCCCATGGGGAACTCCACCGCAGGCCCCAATGGCAGCGCCCGCATGGCGGCACCGCCCTAGTTCGACACACCCCTTATATTGTTCGTGACCTCAGAGAGAGGTCCACCGAACGCCCTAATAGCAGCGCACGCATGGCGGCACCGCACCTCCCGCACACGCTTCGTGGCCTCATACGGAGGTCCACCGAAGGCCCCAGTGGCAGCACCCGCATAGTGGCGCCGCCATAATTTGGCACACCCTGCGCACGACCCGTGGCCCCACAGGGAGCTCCACCGAAGGCCCTGGTGGCAGCACCCACATGGCGGCATCGCCACACTTTGGCACACCACTCACACTTTGGCACACCGAAGGCTCCAGTGGCAACGCCCGCATGGCGGCACCGCCCCACCCTGGCACACCCCCCAGACGTGTCGTTACAAATGGGGGGCTCCACGGAAGGCCCCAGTGTCAGGGCCCGCGTTGCGGCACCGCTCCATTTTGACACACGGCTCTCTCTCCCACACACACAACCACACACAACCACACACAAACACATGCACACACACACACACACACGCACGCACACTTCGTGGCTCCATAGGGAGGTCCACCAGAGGCCCCAGTTTCAGCGCTCGCATGGCAGCACCGCCCCGTGCATGAGCACACCCTGCACACGCTTCGTGCCCCAACAGGGAGCTCCATGCTAGGCCCCACTGGCGACGCCCGCATGGCGGCACCGCCGCATTGTGGTACACCCCTCACATTTTCGAAGCCTCGTAGGGAACTCACCCCACAAGCCACCCAGAAGGCTCCAAGAGGGCTCCCCCTTCTCCTGCCTCTCCTCCTCATCATCCCTCTCCTTCTTCTCCTTCATTTCTCCATGTTCGAAGTGTTCCGCCAATGGGATCCTAAAAGGCTAGGGGGAACACCTACGTAGTCCAGATGCACGGCCAGACTTTGGCACAACGTTTAGCCACAAAGGCGTTTACAAAAGGAGAGGGGGGCGGCTGTGATTCGCCGCAGGCGTCTTCGATACACGATCGACGGTCGGCGGCGTTCAATCTCCCTTGCGCCCCACCCGAATGTGCTTCGGGGGCCCTGGGATTCAGGCGAAGGACCAGGGAAGTCTGCTGGAGTCTCGAAGATGTCGTTGAGCATCGCCTTGGCCACCTGAGCGACGGAGGGGGGTACGGGCCTGACGGTCACGTGGGCAGCTCACGAGCGAATGCATTTGCCATCGACCCCACTCCCCCCCCCTCTTGGGTGGACGCGGCGAACAGGGGGGGGGGGGGCAGGAATGGAGGGGTGCGCACCGTTGCCCGAGGCACGTGCGCGGAGAGGGGGGAGGGGTAAGGGGGCGCACCGAAAGATGAAGACGGGGCCATGAAATCTGGTAGATCTCATGGCCCAGGCCATGAAATCCACACACACACACCCACACCCACACCCACAACCACATCCACATCCTCCGACACCCACCCACACACACACACACACACACACACACGCACGCACACACACCCACACACCCACACATACACACATAAACATACACACAAACACTCAAACACAAACACGTGCATACACAATCACACACAATCACACACAGTCACACACACACACCGTCACACAAACACACACCACACACCACACACCACGCACCACGCACCACGCACCACACACCACACACCACACACCACCCACACCCACACCCATACCCACACCCACACCCACATTCACCGACACCCACACCCACACCCACAGACAGCCACCCCCACACCACCACACACACACACACCCACACCCACACACTCAAACACACATAAACACACACACACACACCAACACCCACACTCACCGACAACCACACCCACACCCACACCCACACCCACACCCACACCCACACCCACACCCACACCCACACCCACACCCACACCCACACCCACACCCACACCCACACACACACACACACACGCACGCACGCACGCACGCACGCACGCACGCACGCACGCACCCACGCACGCACTCACGCACGCATGCACACGCAAACGCACACGCACACGCACACGCACACGCCCTACCAATACCCACACCCGCACGCACGCCGACCCTTCGTACGTCGTTCGGGCCCCAGGGGACGCCTCTGGAGACCTCCAGGGACCCGCGGAGGACGGAGAGAGAGAGAGAGAGAGAGGGAGAGCCACAGAGGGGGGAGCAGGCACCTCGATCCTGAATCCTCGAATCTCCCTCCCCCTCCGCGTGGTGCGGGGAGGAGGCGGAGGAGGAGGAGAAGGAGGAGGAGCAGGAGCAGGAGGAGCAGGAGGAGGAGGAGGACAGGAGGAGGAGGAGCAGGAGGAGGAGGAGCAGGAGGAGGAGGAGGAGGAGGAGGATGCACCTGGGACGTGCAGCCGGTCTCGCCTTCGCCCATGGCCGCGGACCAGGGGAGAGCATCTTGGCAGCTGCCCGCGGCGGCGCCGCCGGTCCTCCAGGCGGGCGGCGCGGGGGCACCGCGGTGCGCGGCGGGGACCACTCGGTGGCCCTGGCTCCTCGCTCATGCGTCCTCCCGTCCTCGCTCCTCCGTCCCTCCTCCCTCTTCCTCCCTCCTTCCTTCTCCACGTCCTCATCCCTGATCTCTCATCCTCCGTCCCTGCTCCTGCCCCCCTCCTCCTCCTCCTCCTCCTCCTCCTCCTCCTCCTCCTCCTCCTCCTCCTCTGTTATCCTTCCTCCTCCGTCCATCCTCCTCCGTTCCTCCTGCTCCTCTCCCTCCCTCGTCTCTCTTCCCCACTCCTCAATCCCGCCTGCCTCTTGCCCTCCATCTCCTGCTCGACCGGTGGGGCAGAGCAGGAGGCAGGAGGACAGAGGAAGGTTGAGGGTCGACCAGGTGAGGTGGCGAAGGGCCAGGGAGTACTTAGCCTGCGCAGTCCTCGCTCCTCCTCCAGGCCCGTTCGCCCTTCGCGCCTCCCTTCTCGACGCCCTCCTCTCTATCGCCTTTCCTGCTCCCCATCGTGCTGCTCTCCCCCACCTGTAGAGAAACACGACAGTTGCATAATAAACACCAGCTTTTGGCGGTCCGCGCGGAGTTGTTGGATCTGCGCCGGAGCCCCTTCCCTGGCGCGCGGAGCGCGCCAGGGGCGGCGCGGGAGGCGCCGCCGAAGGGGGGGGGGGGGGGGCCAGCGCGGATCCAGGAAACCTGCGCGGAGCGCCAAGAGTTTACGCTGATGCCGTGCTTTCTCCTTCGGCTCCTCCCCCGCATCGCCAAGACCACGCTGGGGGGACCTGCCCCCCGACCCCGCTAATGTGTGGAGCTCGCCCGCGCACGAGGGGCCCCGCGCACGAGGGGCCGAGCGAGGGCCGAGGTGGCCCCGGCGTCTGGCGGCCGTGGCGCGGAGCCGCCGAGGCCGCGGGGGAAGGCACGACGCGTGCGCTCTCCCACGACCGAGGGCGGGAAACTTAGGAAACGGGGGCGTGCTGGTGTGAGGCACGTATCCGTACTATTGTCGCTGTTGTTGTTGTTGTTGTTGGTGGTGGTGTTGAACATTATTAATTCTAAAGAATAATTATTGTTGGGGCCCCTGGTGCACGGCCCCCCTGCGCCGCCTAGGCCGCAGCTACATTTTCATCATTTTCGTGAGGAAGCCTCAGGTAATTCGATGTGATCAAGATCCGGTTGTTTTGTTCCCCCCCGCTTTCCCTTGCAAAAAACACTATAAAATGACATTTCTTGTTCTAATATAATCAAATTTCAAGAATCCCTTGCAAAAAATAAGGTAAAGTGGACATTCGCGCGCGCAAGACGAAATCCTTCCAAAAGCTTAGTGTTCGCAGCGATTTTAACATAAAAACATCAAAAAACCTATGGTTTTTCAACAAAAAATTGTCAAAATCTCATCCCGCGCGCTCTTGCGGATTCGTAGGAAACCCAACACTTTTTAAACATTTCTGTCAAACGGGCTTTTGCGAGCAACTTTTTCGAACTTCTGCGACAACGGTTGCGCACCTGCCAGGGCCATCATCCCTGTCAAATAATACCATGCGGGACACATTCGTTTTTCTTCGCGCGCGCACGCCGAAATCTCCAAAAACCATTGGGCTTCTTAAGAATTTTAGCACCGCGCATCATAAAATCACACGAATCGCACCGTAGGTCCTCGAAAAACACCTGCACGACTTTTCAAAATTTCTACCCGCGCGCGCTGTAACAACTTCTGTGGGTGTGTACTCCACGCCAGTGTAGTAGCCACGGTCGTCCGCAGGCCACGAAGTGAAGTGTCCGAACGTCATAGGGCGGGAAGCTGGGTGTGGGTGGTGGCGAAGAGTCGTGTGGATATTTGGTAGAGCTTGCACTGCCCCCCCACAAAGTGGGAGTATTGGCTGGCGTCGCATGAAAACCCTGGCACTGGTGAGAACACTGAGCGTTCGGGTAAAGTGATTGTTGTTGTTGTTGTTGTTGAACATTATTAATTCTAAAGAATAATTATTGTTGGGACCCCTGGTGCACGGCCCCCCCGCCGCGCCTATGCCGCAGCTACATTTTCATCATTTTTTCGCGAAAGCTTCAGAAAAGTGGATGGGGTCCGGATCCGGTTGTTTTGTTCCCCCCCGTTTTCCCTTGCAAAAAACACTATAAAATGACATTTCTTGTTCTAATATAATCAAATTTCAAGAATCCCTTGCAAAAAATAAGGTAAAGTGGACATTCGCGCGCGCAAGACGAAATCCTTCCAAAAGCTTAGTGTTCGGAGCGATTTTAACATAAAAACATCAAAAAACCAATGGTTTTTCAACAAAAAAATGTCAAAATCTCATCCCGCGCGCTCTTGCGGATTCGTAGGAAACCCAACACTTTTTAAACATTTCTGTCAAACGGGCTTTTGCGAGCAACTTTTTTCGAACTTCTGCGACAACGGTTGCGCACCTGCCAGGGCCATCATCCCTGTCAAATAATACCATGCGGGACACATTCGTTTTTTCTTCGCGCGCGCACGCCAAAATCTCCAAAAACCATTGGGTTCTGTGGGTGTGTACCCCACGCCAGTGTAGTAGCCACGGTCGTCCGCACGCCACGAAGTGAAGTGTCCCAACGTCATAGGGCGGGAAGCTGGGTTTGGGTGGTCGCGAAGAGTCGTTTGGATATTTGGTAGAGCTTGTAATGCCCCCCCACGAAGTGGGGGTATTGCCTGGTGTCGTATGAAAACCCTGGCACTGGGGAGAACACCACGCGTTCGGGTAAAATGATTGTTGTTGTTGTTGTTGTTGTTGTTGAACTCTCATTCTTGAACAATAATTATTGTTGATCCCCCCCCACCGGTGCACATTGATTTTATTCGATTGAAGTGCCACCCCCGGGGCTCGCACCTTGTTTTTTCTCAAAGAAAGTCTTCCTGCTCAAACTTTGCCCCTGCCCCCCGGGCTACAACAACAACGGCTCCCGCCTGAGACTTCCCCGATTTTTACTCAGGACCCCCGCTCCCGCCTGAGACTTCCGCACAATTTACTCAGGAAAGGCGCTCCCGTCTGAGACTTCCTCGCAATGCAATCAAGACCCCCGCTCCCGCCTGAGACTTCCGTGCAATTTACGTGGGAACGGCGCTCCCGCCTGAGACTTCTTTGAATTTTACTCAAGACCCCCGCTCCTGCCTGACATTTCCGCGCCATTGACTCAGGAACGGCGCTCCCGCCTAAGACTTCCTCGCAATTTAGTGAGGACCCCCGCTCCCGCCTGAGACTTCCGTGCAATTTGCTCAGGAACGGCGCTCCCGCTTGAGACTTCCTCGCAACTTAGTCAGGCCCCCCGCTTCCGCCTGAGATTTCCTCACAATGTACTCAGGACTGCGCTCTCGCGTGCGACGTCCTCACGAATTATTCTGGAATTGCGTTTCGGCGCTCAGGAACCACGCACGCGCCAAGGACGCCTTCACAACGTGGTATCTTCCCTCTTCCTTCGTCCTTCCCCCTCCCCTTCCTCCCACTCTCCCTCGTTCTTTCCCTCCTCCTCTTGCAGGGCCCGCGCCAATTCCAATGGCGGGCAGAGAGATGTACGCCCCCGAAGGATTGTCCGCCCGTTCCGGTTTGCCCGTACGTCTAAGCCCGCCGGCCCCAGCAAAGAGAAATAATCCCCCCGAAAGGGGTGTGATCGAAGACGAAGAGGGCGGGGATCGAGGGTGTAGGGTATACGTGTTGAATGACTCGCGGGCAAGTAAGAGCGTACAGCCTTAAAATGGTTGTTGTTGTTGTTGTTGTTGTTGTTGTTGTTGTTGTTGTTGTTGAACATTATTCCTTCTAAAGAATTATTATTGTTGGGACCCCTGGTGCGCGACCTCTGCGCCGCGCCTAGGCCGCAGCTACATTTTCATCATTTTTTCGCGAAAGCTTCAGAAAAGTGGATGAGCTCCGGATCCGGTTTTTTGTTGACGCTCGTTTTTCCTTGCAAAAAACAATAGAAAATGAAAATTCTTGTTTTTACTTGATCAAATTGCAAGAATCCCTTGCAAAAAATATGGTAAAGTGGACATTCGTGCGCGCAAGACGAAATCCTTCCAAAACCTTAGGTTTCGTAGCGATTTTAACATAAAAACATCAAAAACCCAATTGTTTTTTAAGAAAAAATTGTCAAAATGTCCTTCCGCGCGCTCTTGCGGATTCATAGGAAACACACAACTTTTTAAACATTTCTGTCAAAAGGGTCTTTGCGTGCTACTTCTTCAGGTGCTTTGAACTTCTCCAACAACGGTTGCGCGCCTGCGAGGGCCACCATCCCTTTGTGTCCAGAGCCGCGCCGTCTGCGTTCTTCCTTTCTCGCTTCTCTCCTTTCCTCCTTGTCCTGCTCCTCCTCCCCCTCTTCCGCCTTGGAGCCGTATTGGAACTGTCGATGGCCATCTCCCTTTCTCCCTCGCATGTCTGCTTGTACATACGTATAATTTCAGAACTTACCGTGCATGCGATCGTTTACAACATGTGGACCGTGCGTATGTCACGAACCTTGTATACATGTGTTTCTCTCCCTCCGTCTGGCTGTGCACGCGCGCGTTGGGCACTGAGAGTTAGGATCATAGCGCCATGAGTCTATGAGCAACGCATGCGTCATCCTTGGGACTGTATAACATCAGTGTAACACATGTACTTCTGTAATCGCATCCCCACGAATTTGCCCCAAAAATGTGACCAACTATCTTGGCACTGCGTACCATCTCACGTGTACCGTGTACCACATCATATGTAACAGATGTGATCAACCTCTGTGGGTGTGTACCCCGCGCCAGTGTAGTAGCCAGGGTCGTCCGCACGCCACGAAGTGAAGTGTCCCAACGTCATAGGGCGGGAAGCTGGGTGTGGGTGGTCTCGAAGAGTCGTTTGGATATTTGGTAGAGCTTGAACGGCCCCCCCCACGAAGTGGGGGTATTGGCTGGTGTCGCAAGAAAACCCTGGCACTGGGGAGAACACTGAGCGTTCGGGTAAAATGATTGTTGTTGTTGTTGTTGTTGTTGTT